TCTGCGGAGCCCCCATGCAGTGCTGGGCACGGGGCTCTGCTTTGGGTCTGTAAAGCACAAAACCCTTTCACCCACGGATCCGCACCGCTTCGCGCCCGCGGGACTGCTGCGTCCCCATGGGGGAGCGATGCAGCACCCTGAGCGCCAGGGCACGCGCTGTAACGGGGCTTTTGTGCCGTGCACATCTGCTCCCGACGCCCCAGCCCAGCCTTTCCACAGGTTTTATTTATAAATCACAGTCCCCCCACGTTAAATAAACTTAATGTCCTGTTAGTGTGGGTGCCAGCATCGCTGTGACCACATAAGTCATCACCACAACAGGCTCCTTGGTTGGGCTGGAGCTGTGGAAGTAGTGCTGGTCACATCCCTGCCTCCTCTGATCCTTCAGGTGCAGCTTCTGGGTAATGCTTTTGTGGAGGAAGAAAAAAAAAGAAAAAAAAAAAAAAGGGGTATATTCCCCAAGATGCTGTGCTCCTTCCTACCTGGCCTCATTTCCCAGAGGAATCTAGAACATGCTGACATTCATGTAGTGTCACCCCAGCAAGGACTAAAAGCCATGTCTTCTTCACTCAAGAGGGGAGAGGAAGAAAAGTGATGTGAACCGAAAGAAACCCCATCTCCCATGATGGCAGCTCACAGCACCCTGCCTCTGCAGCCCCTGCTCAGCCTGGCAAGGGACGTGGAGCTGCTTTGAGCAGAGCAAGACGGATGCAGTGAGAACACTAGAGGCAGCTTTACTCAGCAGAGGGAGCTGCTATGCATGAGCTTTTTGGTTTGTACTTTTTTTAAAAATGATATTTAATGGTTTAATGGGAGGCTTCCATTGAATCATGCCTCGTAAAATCACACTGTAGCACATCATCCTGAAAATAGCTGCACCCTGTGAATGATTGGGACTATTTGAAAATGTAAACAGCAGAGAGGGAAGCTCAAGGTGACCCCTTTTTTCTATCAGGAGGCAAGTGTGTGTTTCTCCTGTTTTTCCTGCTTCGCCACAGAGGGCTTTGCCTTGCGCCCAGGCCCGTGGCAAACGCCCTGGCTGGCACCGGGGCCGTGGAGCAGCCTTGGGTCCCACAAGGACGCTGCCTGCAGCTTCCTGCCTGCTGCTGGGTCTCCCCCAGGAGCTGGCCCTGGCAGAGGCAGCAAGAGGCATTTCTGTAGGAGCTTTACAGAAACAGGGCAAAGAGGAACAGTGTGTCCTTGCAGCTGCTTCCCACTTCCCTCCTTTAACACCCCTTGACAACATCAGACTGGAGGACCCTGGCCTTCCCGACATCTCTGTAGTAATTCCTAGCACAGGTTCTCACTCACCACTTTCAAGGACTCTCACGTGCCCAAATTACACCACAGAAAATGGATCAGCAGGGAGAAAAAAAAAACCCAGGTACATCCTAATGCAGCACTTGACCTTGCTTCTGTCGCTCCAAACTCCTGGCAGGGGCATCAAGAAGAGCCTGAGGCTGGCTGTGCAGCATCCCTCCTCCCTCCAGCCCATCCTCTGCAGCGCAGCCAGGTATGACAGCGTCACAAATGAATGCGATACATCTTGATCCCTCCCGAAATATAAACCAACCTGAAACAGGAACCCCAAGAGCAGGAGTTCACGTGCATGGATTGGGCTGAGGCGGTGGGTGTAACAGGGGTGCTCCTTGAACAGAGGGGAGGCTGTTCCCGAGCCTGAGCAGTCAGCACCTCACTGCAGGTGGCAGGCTTGGTCTGGCAGAGCACCGGGAGATCTCTGTGTAGGCAGCCAAGGTTTATTAGAGAAATTGTTAAATTCAAATGACTCGGATACAAAGATAAGCTGCACTGCCTTCTGAAAGGCAAAGGTGTTTCTGACCCGTAGAAACTGATACAGGTTACCGAGACATCAGTGACCACAGCAGGTTTGACAGTAAAATGATCACCTTGCAGTTAATCTTAGTGGAGTCAAAGTTTCTTTCTACCTAGTACATCCAATAGGATGCGTACATTGTGTCAGCATATAACTACCGCCTCTCGCCTACAGCCTTGCTGCCTTCCCTCCAGGACGTTGCCAGCTGTCTCAGCAGCATCTCTTCCGTTCCCATTTAACTGCAGTAGCTCTCCCCTCCCTCATTTGCCGTGTTTAAACATCCAAAGCAACACTTCTCTATGGAACGTTTTTAAATTCAACGTTAGGCTGCTCTCATCTTTAACTGGATGGGGGAATAAGAAGGTGCAGAACTCAAAATCTGTTATTAGACCTTTAAACTAAAATTAAAAAGAAAAGGAAAACAAAAAACACTGTTCATTTCTCATGGAGAATTCAAACCCTTCACTGGCATGTTCCTAGGAATGTTTTTCTGCTTGCAACAGTTTGCAGCACAGGATCGTATCCACCTCCACTCCCTGGAGCACCATGGCGTTGTCTTGTCTATAGGATGAGATGTCATAGGGCTGCACACATCAGTGCTGCTGTCCACACGCTCGTCAGCACCAGGCTGGCTGACAGTCTGAGCACAGGGCAAGCCCGGAGGGACGGGGAGGCCGAGGTGCAGGAGCAGACCTCGTATCCGTTTTCTGAGCGGCTCTCGTCATGCTGCCCTGGTTTGGAGCGTGCCCCGGTCCTGCTGCTCCCGGCTGCTTCTGGGGAGTCGGACTGCATGTCGCTGCACACCAGCCAGTCTCTGGCGATGGACTGGGGATAACCAGGCTGCGCCTCCAGGTCACTGTCCAGCACTTTCCAGTACTCCTTGCCCCTGAAGAAGTAACTCGCACCTGCAGAGAGACCAAAACCCAAAAGCAAAATGAGAGGCAATGGGCGCTCCCCCGGTGGGAAGGGCACAGGAGCAGTTGGAGCAGCAGAGCACTCCCAGCCCAGCTGAACCCTGCGGAGCAGAGGGACACGCGATACCGCTGCTTGTTGCCAATACCCTCTCTCACTGCAGGAGCGCAGTGGCTGCTGGCGGGATGCTCTTAAAGACGATGCTACGCCCGGCCGGGATCTCTCACACCAGCCAGGACCCCCCAAGCCAGATGGGAGGTGGGTGGTGAGATGCTGCCTCTTCTATGGTGGGTCCTCGAGCGGATGCATCCCCTGGTACCGAGGGTGCGCGGGGTAAAAACCCCAGTAAATCCTCGGCTGGACGCACCGTACACACTCTCAGTGGCCATCGGTGGGCAGTCTTGTGACAGGGCATGGTAAGGCTGAGGAAGACCTCAGCTACCTCTTAATGACCTGGGGTGCAGATAAATAACCAGAGCCTGGCAGGGCCCTGGGAACCTTCTGCTCTCAGATGCGTTTTTTCCACTCTGAACTGGAAGGTTGTGAATTCTCTAAGCAGGTCCCATGCTCATAGAGGACTCCTACCCGCGTGAATGGCTGGTCACTCTCAATAGCTTCAGGAATTCAGTCTGAAAAGCCTCTGGGAATGTCCCTTGCCTCTGCCTGGTTTATTGGTTGCTATTACACCGTTAGATCGCTGATAAATAAAACCTGGAAGTGCCAGTTTCCTGTGAGCGAGCGGCTGGCTTTAAACATCTCCTGTGGCAAAATTTTTGTGGTCTTTTCAGGGAGAAGAAACCACTGAGAAATCTTATCCATAGAAAATAAGTTGTAACTCTGGGGAAAACATCTCCTTTAAAAATATTTTCTGTCCACATCCTCATATATCTAGCTAAAAATCCAATGACAACAAATTCAGTGAGGAGCAAATCAGCACATATTAGGATAAAAATCACTGCAAAACAACATCAACTGTGTTCTTTTCATAAAATCAAATTATTAGACCCCCAGGATATTTTTGTTGCCAGCTTGAAATTACAAACTATTTGAGCAAGCAGTGTGGGGAGCTGTGGCTGGAAGCCTACCTCCCTCTTCAGCCTTCAGACACCAGGAGCTGTCGTCCCATCTGGGGCTTAGCAGTTTATGTCAGCAGGCACAGCAGAAGGGGCTATAGTTCGAGTGCAAATAAAGCATTGATTTTTTTTTTTCTTGTGTTTTTTGGCCCAGCATATAGACTCACCATCTGACCACCTCATGGCATCATCTAAAGGGCTCGGTATTCCCTTCCACAGGATGGTCTCTGAAGGGTACCCGGGATCCATCCTCCGCTCGTGGTCATCGTAGCGCCAGTAGAGATTGTCCTTAAAGAAATAAGTCTTGTCATTGTGGGCCCAGGAGAAAGCGGCGTCGATTCCTCCTGGTGGCAGACCAAAGTCCGAGATTGGCCGTGGGTATCCTTCCTCCACATTATTGTCTTTGAAGACCCAGTATCTGTCTCCTGGGGAAAGGAAAGAAGCACGGAGCAAAATCACATTTGTTTCACAGCCGAAACCAGCATTCCCCCGCAGACGAGCTGATGTTTCATTATCTGTTGCCGTGACAATCCTCAGGACTGAGCTCTTGGCATTGAAGGATGGGGATGGGAAGGCAGCAGCCCGGTGGGGAACCTCAAGCTTTGAATAGCTGCTTTTTTTGTGTCAGGCTCTCCATGGAGCATAGCCACACTTTGCTCCTGAGCAGCTGCAGGCATGACGGTCCCGGAACACGAACACACCGACGGCACCAGTATGGTCGTCGCTTTTATGCATTTGGTGGCAGCATTTGTTTTTCTGCCCCTTTGATTTCTGCCTGATATCCAGCTGAAAGTCACATGCAGCTTTTATGGGCAAATTGAGCACTATCTGCCCGCTAGTCGACTCCTGAGAAGCAAAGTGTGGTCCCACTTTGGAAGAGAAATCACCACACTTTGCAGAGCCAGCTGGGCTGAAGGCCCTGTGCATTTTAAGGGACGTAAGGAGGATGCACGGGGGGCTGGACAAATCACAGCTGAGTGTCCTACACAGCCACCCCCCCGGCCCTACCCTGGGCAGGAGAGGACTGTCAACGTGTTTGGGGGTTTTTTCAGATAAAAACGAAGCATGACATGACTGGCCCACGGTCTGTGGCAGAACAAGAAAACGAACCCAGATCTCTCAGTTCCTACATAATCTTCTAACCACTGGCGTGGTCTTTCTGTTTGTACAACATCTCTTTGGGAACCTGCAGTGTCCTTCTGGGCATCACACAACCTTTTTTTAAAGATCAGGCTTTTTCCTCCCACAGTTTTCTAGAAAATCTGAAGAGGCACCTAAATACATGCCCATGTATCAGCAGCAGGACCTTAGAGGCCAGAGTAATTTGTGTGCTTTGGTTTCTGTCCAAGGATCAATGAAACAGCGCTGGAGGGAGAGAACGAGACAGTATTTTATAGCCAGAAAGAAAATCTCGAGTTTAATCTTAGGAGGTAGGCAGGACTAGCACACACATCATGTGTGACCACGGAGCGCTGTGCCTTGCAGGGGCAAGACCCCAGATGTGGCACAGCTCTAATTTTGGCCTTACAAGCAAAATTTAGCCAGCAGCCAAGAGGAGCCCCTGGCCCTGAGCTGCAGAGGTCTCTCCATCCCCAGCAGGGAGAGAAGGGAGGGAAGCGAGCCTGTGGTCCGCAGACCTGACTGGGACGGGCTGGTGCCAGGCGTAAGGGCTGCTACGCTCCAGCTGGCCCCATTCCCTCCGGATTAGTGGAAGGGCAGAGCGCGGCAGGCTGCCCGAGGCAGCTGGAAACACGCGGTGGAGCCTTTTGCGTGCTATTCCTCGGGGAGACGCAGGGCTTGGCACGGCTCTGCGGTGCTCAGCGCGCAGGCTGCTTGGAAGGGCTTTGGCTGCGCTTGGAAATGCTTCTGCGAGCGCAGAGGCTTGGACAGGATGTAAAGCCATTCCCTCCAGGCTTGCTGGAGGAATCAAAACCAAATTATTGCTTTCAGAAGTGCTTGGCTCAGCACTTTTAAAACCGATAATTGCACCATGCTTGGAGCAGAACGATCAGGAAACAAAAAGCAATTTCCAGACAGGGACCATGGATGGTTGAGATGTATTTTTATGAAACAAGAGCCGGTGCCTGCCGGGGGCTTGGGTGATGTTCAGCACATGGGTAACACCTAACCAGCGTGGGTGGAGGTTTGTGGGGGACTTGGACATTTGCATAGGAACCAAGAGCTAATCTCTTTCCTCCAGCTCTTCTGAAAGAAACTTGCGAGATGTTTTAAAAATGAGATTATTATTATTATTATACCACTTATTTTAAGAAAAAAAAAGTAATAACGGAAATATAAATGGTAAAACCCAAGTTCTTCAGGTTTTAATTTTTGTCCCCTCTGCAGCTTCTTCACTTCTTGACAACCAATACTAAAAAGAGAAAAGGCCAAAGAAGGAACACAAAACCTGTAAAGTGTGTGTGGGGGTGGTTCCTGCTTTTATTTTGTTCTTAAAAAGCAAAAATTTCGGTTAGGTTTGGCTGCAGTTTTTCTTCAATGACATTTCCCTCATTTTCTGGCGAACACAACTGCTACTTTTTGCCTGCCCTCCCTGCGAGCTGATTTCTCCTGGCCTCGCTCACGGACAACAGACCTCAGACCTGCCCTGGGAGATGCTCGAGGGTTGATGCTGGTGTCTCCTGTCTGCGGGAGAGGTCAAAATGCTGCCAAGGTACCTGGGCACCGGGCTCTACACCAGGGAGACACACGTGCTGCCTCCAGCACCGCGTTTGCTCTCACCTTTGAAGAAGACGATCTTGTGGTCGCTGGTTCTCTCATAGACCGCGTCCAGGTTGTCCAGGTTGAGCGGCAAGCCCCGCCAGAAACGGTGGATCTGAGCCGGCTGGAGGGAGACCAAGTGCTTATTGCGAGTCAGTCTCCAGAAGTACTTGCCTGGAGGAACAGACTGGACATTACTGAACCACACTGCAACCCACAGTCGCCGGGGGAGATGAGCGCCAGGCACGCAGCAGCAGCAGGAAGCAAAGCGCGTGAGATGGGAGCCATGAATTACAGGCATCCTGCTTCCCAGCAGCAGCTGCTAGCGCTTTCTATTTCTGGCAGCCATTAGAAGAAATCCCCTTTTCGAGATCAAAATAATCCTCCGGACATTGCACTGGAGTCGTCATACTCCTGGCTGTGGCGTGAAGCTGCACCGCTGAGCTGGAGCAGGTGAGAGGAGCCTTTCATCTCCTCCCTCGCTGCTCTGCATGGGACCTCCTGGGAGCTGGTGGGACCAGGACCTGAAGCTACACCAGGCACCCGCAGCCTTTAGCAAGAGCCTCTGAAGAAACATCCCTACTTCTCCTCTCGCGGAGCACCCGCAGCTTCCTGCACACAGGGTGCCCAGCTGCTTTCATATTTAGAAATGTGTATGATGTTACGATGAATCACAGAAATATCAGAAGGGGCTTTTTAATGAAGAAAGGGAGTACGAAAATACAGGAGGAAACTACATTAATAAAACAGGAAGGGTTGAGGAGGGGAAGGAGGCGCAATTAAGGAGTTTGGTACCATCTCGAGGCACTGGATAAGCAGGGGACCTCGGTCCTGCAGCGCTCCCAGGGGCTAAATGTGCCGATGTTGTAAGCAGTCACACTTCCAGCACCTGCAGCAACGCTGCCCCAGCTAGAAAAGAGTTTGGCTTGGGATATTTCTGGAATATTTTGGGTAATGGAAAAGGAAACGGGTTTATGCTCTGCAGGAAGGATGCCAAACTTTCTCCTGCCGAAGGAGCCTTACGTGGGATTTCCCAAAGACTCTTAATGATTTTAGGGGCAACTCGACACCCGACTCTCTGCACTGCCTCAGGGATTCTCAGCCTCAGGTTTTGCAGCACGCTTCACGCTGCCTCTTCCCCCGAGAGCTCCACACAGTGAGAACTGAGCCGGAGCAAGATGTCTAAGAGCCAACTCTCAACTTTGTCTCATATTTGTTATTGCCTGTTAGAAATTATTGCATGTTATTTACATCTGCTCTTGCATGGTTTCCCAAGGGGGGCTAAGCAACAGAAACCAAAGATGCGTCTTCAGATTTGTATTCAAGACACTCAGCCCTTTCTCCAGAGCCGGCAGATTGTGACACCATCTTTTAAAATTTTATGGAAATTGGATCTTAGCCTAATAATGCAGGAGGCAAAACTCTAACACTTAAACATCTGCAGAGAGAGGGTTTTATTCTAATTATAAGGATTTATATCATATTCTTGTTCTTCTGCTCCAGTTTGCATATTTGCTCTATCTGACTGAAACCTACGAATGAATAATACATTCAAATGTGGTAGGAATTGCCATAATTACAGATTCTTTTCAAGAACATTTTAAAAAAAATAGGATTTAAATTTGGTGGCCATTGTACATCAATGGAAACACATGTAATTAAATAAAGATGATCTCTGCATCTCTAATTAGCGAGGCACTAGACAAAGCCAGATTAGCACTTTTTGAACAAGAAATACAGGTCGACATAATTCCTTCTTTAGCAGATAAGCACCTGAACTTGGGAGTGCCCTGGGCTCATCTGAGAGCAGGAGGGAAGCCCCAGTGCTTTCGACATTTCAACCCTTTGCCAGCGATGGGCTCAGCAGGTGTGCGACTGCAGCAAGCGTGCTTTACATCTACCCTCAAAGTCAGGCATAGCCTGGGGCTGTTGGTTAGTTTGGTTGGTTTTTTTGATAAGCTATCAGGAAAAAGTGACAAAATATAGCAATTAAGTAGCAAAAAATTCGTAATGCCACGGCCGCAGTCTGCCCGTGCTTGTGTTTTGTCATGGCCAAGCCAAAGTGCTGTGGTTGCTTGGATGATCATCAGCCAAAGCCAGATCCGTGGGGGAATCGCTGCCATTAACATGCAGAAATATAATAAAAAAAATAAATCCCAACCCCGAGTTTGTTTAAAAAGCTTGATTTAAAACCACCCTCTGAGCTGGCAAACTGAGCAGGATGAAAGCCAAGTGTAAAGTCCTGCTGTCCCGAGTGTCTCATTTTATATGGATGATGGGTTGAGGCAATTGCTTTCTTTAATACCAGGTGATTTTGATCCCAGCTGCGTACCGCGCTCTCCGTACTTTGGCTGCCTCTGGCAAGACTGCTGCACGCACTGTGCAGACACATACACAGGCCAAAGTTGTTTTAAAACTTCAGGAGCCTGTAGCAAGGCACCTAAATCAAAGCAAGTGGAGTTTTCAAAGTGCAGAGAACCCACCATTGCCTTCAATACGACAAGCCTGGGAGCCCTGCAGAGCTCCGGTCCTGGTGCCTTTGCAGCGGGAAAGGCTGCTCTCCAGCTAAGGAACCAGCTGGACCAGCTCAGAACAAAATGTCCATCGACGGAGGATGCTCATCACTGGAGGTCATTAAAATCCTGCCCCAGAGGTGACATCCCCGCCTCTTGGTGCCAGGATGGTTTGGTGGCAGCGATGGGGGCTCTGAGGGAGGTGCTGGGCTTCAGAGGCAGCCGTGCACAGCTGGCACCCACTGACACCATGCTCTTTGCATTTGCATTTTGGCCCAGAATAAATATATCCAAAAATAGACATTGAGATGGATTTCTCTTCAGTTTTCATCTTTTTTTTCCCCTCTGAAAGACAGCCAGCCATTTATCCTGGACACCAGTTCTTGTCTTTTATTTTCCCTTCTTCACTGTGGCTTTCTGGAGCCGTCATCTGAACAAATACCGCAAGGGAACAGCCTCCGTATTGTGCTCCTCCGAGGGCACAGACAACATAGAATTCTCCGGAGCCCTTCTGCAATTCTTGCCTGCGACCCGAGACTCACAGTGTAATACACAGATGGGTTATATGGCCCAGGTGCTGCTCCCGATCCCGGGGGAAGATGCTTCTGCTTCGCTGCTGGATGGCTTTGGGGTGGTCAAATGGTGGCCAGGATGGAAAGAAGTGCCCAGTGGGCATTTTTCTATCTTAGGAAAATGGGAAAGAAAGCCTGTGGAGTCCAGCCCACATGGGCTGTGTACAGCTGAGACGGTGCCGATGGGATCCTTGTCGACAGCCGGGCACCCCGGGAACACACTGCCAGCAAGTGTGTGCTGACACGGAACCAGATGCCTCTGCAATTGCACGCACGTTATCCTTGAGCAATGCACAGCAAGCAGCATTAGGAAAGGTGAAGCGTGGGAGGAAAGGAAAGTTGGAGGCATCCAGGAAAAAAGCAGTGGAGAGGTGTTGTTGCTCTGCTCATCCTTGGTTTGACCCAGATTTTGACTTTGATAGCACGAATATCAGATTTGAGTTCTTCGCTTGGGCAGTGCGGTGCCATTGGCCAGAGCGCGGTACAAAGTGCTGCGCTGGATTGTCACTAGCCCGGCTGCTTCAGAGGGAAGCGTTAAACCCTGGGACATGCCACGTGGACACGTGCCTGCCCTGGTGTTAGGACACCGGTCCCTTGTGGGTACCGCACCAGCTGTGCACCGCAGTGGGCAGGAGGGTTTGCTGCCACGGGCGCTCCTCTGGTCTCTCCTCCCTTGCCAGACCCCCAACCTGGCTCATGCTACCCAGCCGCTCTTGGCAGCAAGTCCCACAGCTTAATTATGTGCTGGGTTTAAAAATATCAATTTTTATAATTTTAAAATACATTGTTTTATAGTTTCACTGGCTTTCTCCTTTTTTGATAAAAGAAATGGTCAATTTACTACGTGATCTTTTGGATACCTCTAGCACATCCCTTCTCCTCCTCTCTCTCAGTCCCCATTTAGCTGTGATTTCTGCCCCCCCCCCAGTGCCCCCAGCCATCGGCTGCCCAGGCACCTCCTCCGCTGTGCTGTGACAGACCGGGCACGAGCCGGGTGGTTTCCTTCTGCACCGGAGGCAGGATTCACATTAACAGTACAATTTCCTGATCATCCATCCTCAGCGGGCTGATAAAGGTCTAAGCCCTTTGATTTGAGCCAAAAGGAGTCAGCAGCATGTGAGACGCCTACCTGGGTCTGGGGGCCCCGCAGCCTGGAAACCCTAAGCCAGCTTATCCTCATCGCCCACCCCAGCCTGTCCGACACCGCTGCTGCAGCGTTGCACTGTCATGCCAACATCACTGCAGGGTGACGCGCACAAAGACTGCCGGCAGCGGGCACTTACCTTTGAAGAAGAAAGCCTCTCCCCTGATCTGGGCCACTGCATCAAAGTGAGTGTTGCATCTGTTGGGCACGTCCCGCCTGAGCCTGCGGAGAGATGCCCAGGTGAGCACGGCCCAGGAGGGCAGCGAGGGGCTGTGTCCTCCCCGGTGTCCCCCTTCCCATGGACCGCATCTCCCCTGCCCCCAGAGCCCCCCGCAGAAGACCACAGGCTGCATCTGTCGTTCCTCACGCTCAAACCCAGCCACGTGCACAGGGATTTCCAAGGCGAGCTTGGGCAGCCCTCAGCCTGAAGACAGCTTTGTGGCAGACACGCTCCCCGGGCCACCAGCGACCATTGCTGGGATTCAGGCAGGGACACACTCTACATCTACCAGCTAGCGTAACTGGTGAGGGCAGAGCTGGCTTGCCGTTCCTCAGTGGCACAGCGCAGCTCGGCCGGCTGCCCCCGGGCAACAGGACACTTGGTGGATAAGAGCCAAGCAGCATCTCGCTCCAGCGGCTGGGGACATTGCTGCTCCAAGGCTGAGCTCCAAAATGCCAGTGAGAGGCGACGGAGCTGCAAAGCAGAAAGCAGATGAGACCAAACACAGGGAGAGGATGCCACATGCGAGACAATGGCATACGATATGTGGTGAAAGCCACCTGGCAAGTCGCAGCTGAGATACTGAGCTGCTTTTAACAAGGTGGATGGGAAAGGCAGAGTATGAAGGACTGAAAGTGCTATGAAGCCCATGTGAGAAATGATGATTGATGGAGGACAAGGAGAGGATGCTGGGAACATGCACAGAAAAGCTGCTGTGGGTGACAGGGAAGCATAAATCTAATTTGCTGATAGAAGAGTTGTGCTGGGCTGGCAGTGCCAGCTTCGCGGCCCTCTTTGGGCACAAAGCGACAGATGTGGAGGTGAACCCCATCCACCCTCCCAGTCACACACGGGGCAAGAAGAAAGAGTTGGCAACAAGGGTCCTGCTCCTCTTGGTGCTGGTGCGAGACAATGGCCTCCAACAGCAGCAGGGAGAAATGCTCTTGTCGCTAGGTCAAAACATGGCCATACAGAGCCTTGTGGACAAGCTCCGTTAGAAGCTATGTGGAAAACAGATAACTAATGGCATTCAGCGTGTTCAAGGAAAAGGGTCGCTTAGGACCCTCGTAGCCTTTCTAAACCCTGGCAGCTGGGACACCTCCACCAAGAGCAGGTGCTCAGCACCTCTGTACTGTGGGCATCACACCAAGCAGGGCCAGGAAGGGTGAAGAAGGTGCTGAGGTGGGAAAAGCAACTGCAGCACAGGGATATTTTTTCAAGATTATACTCTTGGTCCCATTACTGTAGGAATAATCTGGTTGTTCACACTTCAGTGCCGTTATCCTCTCTTTGCAGATGGCACATTGAGGCACAGAGAGGTGAAGTGACGTCCTCAAGGTCAAACCTCAGAAGAGGTCAGACCAGGAGGTGAAGGTGATCTGCTCCTTCTCTGCTGCTCTCACTTGGGGGGCTCCTGGTATCTAGCAAAAATACATGTGGCCATGAACTCCTGCCTTTTTGTTCAATGTCCCTTCCTCTTTTAACTGTCCTGCTGCCCTGGTAGTAAAACAATCTGGTAACTCCAACATTTATTAATGAGCTAGATCCAGAACTTCCCTTAATGAGGGCATGCTGGTTGCTTGATGACACTCAGTGTAAGCAGTCCTTTGCCAATTCAAACCTGCGTTGGAGTCAGGCTATCGGTCCACTTGTTCCAATATTCACCCCCACAGGTACATTAGGGAGTTGCTCACCGTGGAAAGATTTAAGTAAGTTATGCTTGCACAAATCAAGATAGTGCAGAGGAAGTTTGATTAAAATTTCAGCAAGGATGAGTTTGCTTAAGGGTGATGGGGACAAATTACCATTAACACAAGTAAAATTTTGAGTCTTAGAGAAATGCAAAGCATTCCAAGATAATACAGAATTTCTGGATGTGCCTTGATTGATAAAAATTAACTAAGGGATAGATAGCACCTATCACCTGCTCTTGCTCTTAACCACTTCACTTGCGGGCTGACTGGCCAGTCTCCACACATACTGCTTGAAAAAAGCAGTAGTATATGCAGGAGATGATCAGGAGATGTGAGGAAGAAGAGGCACTTTCTGTGTGCGTGTGTTTTCCAGAAGACAAAGGACCAGAGGGAAATACCAAAGTGAGCAGGCAAGACACTGGTGCTTGAGTGGAGCTTCACTACTAGATGCACTTTGCAGGAACATCAGCGACAGTTGAAAAGAAACAAAACAAACTTGACTTACGGGACAGTGGATCGGTTCTCTGGCAGCTCTGGCAGGATAGGATGGTCATCGGTTTTGCTTACTTCGGGCTTGGCTGTGGGGGACACAGATTCCCTGACGCCTATGCATAAAGACAAAGAAGCAGTAGAAGGGTACACCATCCTCCCCACCAGCTCCGCTCACCCCAGAAAACGGCTATTCCAGCGTGCTCCATGGCAGAAGCAGGCAGTAGCCACATGAGGGACACAAACTTACCATAGAGTTGCCAGATTCGAACTTTGTCCTCGTAAGGTAGGTCATACTTCAGAGGATCCCCCACTGGACCTTGGTAGTAGGGTCTCATGATAGACTCTATGGCAGAGATGTGGGTCAAGCCAATAGCATGGCCAAACTCATGGACAGCTACAGCAAATAGGTCCATCCCATGAGCATCTGGAAATAAAGACAAAATTGAAATAAAAGTCACTACGTACTGATTGTATTTTGGGGGTTTGGGCAAGCTGTAAGAGAATGTGTAGACATGTTGGATAAACTGGAAGGAAAAGCTTTGGAATAGGTGAAGTTTGAAAAATAAATTTTTCTCCAGTTGGAAAAAGAAGACTGAAGTGTATCATATGAAACCGGTAAGCAAGCCAGACATCAGCCCACAGCGTGAGTCCTCAGCCCCACACAAGCTTGGGGATCACCCCCCTTAATCCCGGATCACCGATGGCACCTGAGAAAGAGCTGGACAAACGGCTGACGCAGCAACCTTGGCAGAACCATCCATCATCCCCGCTAACCCGCGCCGCAGGAGCTGGGCCACAGCGGTTGTCTCCCATATCTCACATCTGCCCTGCAGGAGCTGCAGACACAGTCTTTGAGACGCCCAGAATACCAAACCTCTGCTGCCGGCCAGAGGCTCGCCAATGCTCGCAATAACGAGCAAAGCCACGTGCCAAGGAACTGGTGAGTGCCTGGCAGCGCCTGCCTGCCCACGGTGCTCGGCTGGGCTTTCCCTGCCTCCACACGCTGGCATGGCACGCTGCTGCCATGGCCAAATCCACCACGAACGCCTTCCTGCACGCTTACAAACGTGGAGCTGTTCGCCTGCTCATCAGCCAACAACCCCGCTCTTCTAACTGCTGTTCTGACAGGATTATGGCAGAAGGGGCAAGGTGATCATGTCCAGCTTGTTTCCAGAGGATTTGCTTGTCTTCTTCCCTCCACACCTTGTGCCGGTGGGGCTGCAGCTCCAGGGTCTGCTCCCTTAGGCAAACACTTTGATCCTCACACACAACACTGGGCATCAGGGAGACTTTATTGAACCCTGACACCTCCTCTGATGACACTTTTCCTCAGTCTGGGCTCTCTCTATTATCTCTCACCAAATTTCCTTATTTGCAACGCAACCCCCAGAGCCTCAGACCGCACCCACCCACAAACCCATCCCATACTCTCCAGAACCTCAGATGCTCAGGTCAGATCTCAACAGGGGTTAATGTCTGCTTCCAAACCTGCACCATTGCTGCCAAAGCAAAGGAGGAGCTCCCTGCAGGAGCCATACAGGACTGATCCTGCTTGGTGCATTCCCACCACCCAGCTCCAAACCGGCTGGGCCAAGCACCCGTGCAATTGCTGTCCCTCGCTGCACAGCAGTGCCCTGCAGAGCAGTACCAGAGGGCGGCGATGCTTTTAAGTATGGCTCTTAGAAGGATCATGATTGCAAGTATTGTAATACAAAGGCAGTGCAGTTGGAAAGCCAAGGTCTCTGAGGACCTCAGGGGAGCCCCACGTCCCCTGAGCCACGGTCAGGGCCAAAGGAGATGTTGCGCAGAAGCAGCCATGGCTGATCCTGCACAGTCCTTTGCGCTCCCCACCAGGCTTGGGGTGTTGGGTGGGATATTTTTGCTGAATTCTGCTTTTTCCTTGATGACTATTATTTACAGTGTCTGTAAACAGACGGGATTTTTATAACCTGTGCCGGTTCTCCCCGGCACTAGGGGGGAAAAAGACATATGCTTTCTGACATTTTAATGCCAAACTGACAACCTTGGGGATATTTTTATATCACCTACCAAGTTGTTATTTTTGAATCACTAGGGAGAACAAAATAAATAAAAGATGAAGTTCAGATAGCTCCAAGACCTTCAAAATAGAGGGCGGCTTTCTCGCCGTCAGGCTCATCCCCTGGTCCCTCGTCAATGCTTGGAGGGATCCCCCTCTCTGGGGGCCACCAGCCCTGAGCCCGCTCCTCCACACGAGCCTGTTTCACAGTGAGCATTCCCAACCACCAGCTACAAAAAGGGGCACCACTCCTTACTTCATCACATAACACATCTGCAACGGCAAGCTACCAGACCTCAGGACTTGCCTCCGTTCTGTATGCATGCAGAGCAGAGCTGCTGCTTTTTTTGATTCCCCAGAAGACATCGGTTGGGGTTGCACAGTGGCATGAACCAAGGAGCAGGTTGAATCCTGAAGAACCAGCCTGTCCAGACCTTTATCCTTAACCCCAGACCTCCTCCAGCACATCTGGTGAACACTCCTGCCCACAAACACTCAGCAGGGATGGACAGAGGTCAGCTGGTGGGAAGGGAGGAGAAAGGTGGGGAGAAAGAAGATATTAGCTGGTTTCAGAGAAGATGATTAAGTCTAAACAAAATCATTAAGCTGAGGCAGCAGGAGCCCACAGGGAGGCTGGTGGAGGAGGTGGTGTGACAAATAAACAAGCGGCTGGCGAGTGCAGAGGAGGCTCTCTGTCAAAATGTGCCCGACAAAGGCTGGGGACTTGATCCCCACAAATGGCTCATGCATCTGAGGCACATTCGCTTCTGAAAGTCCATCTGCTTATTAAAACTCTGTTCTAGTCAGGTGAGATGAAATAAAAGAAAAAAACCCTGTAACCTGCAACCATCCTGATGGCGGGTAACGGACACGAGATGGCAGGAAAAATCTAGCATTCACAGGCAGCTTTTTCCCTGCAGATCACAGAGCCCTTTCCAGGCAGGTCAGCTGATAAATACGCTTTAAAAATAGGAAACCAGGGCACGTGGCAATGAAGCCACCCAAAAGACAGTGAAATCGGAGAATATGGTCCCCATCCGAGAGCTCCAACAGCTGCACACCCAACCTGTGACCTTCCAGGTCCCAGAAGAGACAGGGACTGGGGGTGGGCAATGGGGAGCTCTGCAACTGCCGATACGATGGGGAGAAACAAGGAGACATCAGTGAGGCTTCCAGGGATGCATAAGGTCCTCTGGCTGCTGTCGTTTCACTAGCAAGGTGGAATGGGAAACCAGAAGAAGGTGGTGGGACCTGCAAGCCTGGGGTGAAGGTGTAGTGGAGACTAAACTGCTCTAGCCACCAGCACAGAAGAGGGAAATTGCAAGCACATGCGTTTGTCTGCAGCTCTCCCACCCTAACATACCTGACGATCGGAAGGTCCAATACTCATCATCATCAAAATGGGTGTCTCCTGCAGTGTGATGGTCTCCAGGGAAGAAAGCATGTGCCACTGTCCCACCAGGTCCATCAAAGGGATAGCCATCATTGTGATCTGCCTTGGAGAAGTCTATCTGGATGTCAGCGTTGTTACCTGCCACTTCATGGAAATTCAGCGGAGTAATGTCGCTCCAGACCTTCAGGGCGTAGTACATCAGGGCTCGGACTGTGTCGTGGCCCAGGTGGGACTCTTTTGGGAAGGTGCGAACTCTGAAATAAAGAGGGCAAAAAAGAGGATAGGGCATGAAAGATCTTTTGCAAGGACTACCAGGAAGGGCTCTGCCAGTGCCTGGTGTGTTGCAGAGCCTCAGTGAGGCCTCCAGAGCTCTCAGCACACCTCCAAAGTGCCCCAACATGGTTTGTTTAAGTCTCTGCATCACTTCTGTTCCAGAGCTATGACGATTTCAGAGACTAAGTGTGGGTCCTCTGGAAATACAGAGCTAGTTTTGCCCACCAGAGTGTGAAACACCCCACAGGTGTGAAACACAACTGGAATTTGAGTCCTGGTACATCCTGATCCTGCTGTACCGGATGGCAGTCAGCCTCTGAGCCACACTTCATGCATGAACTGCTGTTAGTGCCCAGAACTACTACCCTTGCCCAGCCTTGGAAATGCCAACGCCATAAGTCCCTTTCCAGAGCTTGCCCATTTCTTTTTTCAAGCTCCTCTTCAGATCTATTGACAGTTATTTTCTCACCACTTTTTTTGTTCCAAGTGCAACCCAAATACGCAAAGATTATTGACTTCTGAAGTCTTTGCACCGCACACAGGCCCATCAGTTTTTCTGCAACAAACAGCAGGTCATTGCTCATTCTTATTACACGCACGCAGAAATCCAGAATGGATTTGCTGCCTCCATATATTTCCCAGCATGTCTGCTGGAGGTATAAAATATTCTCTGAAACCAGTACACTGCCAGCAATCTCTGAGACTGCAATCTATAACAAGGAGGAAGAGAAAAGGATGCATTTTATGTAAATCACATTCAAAATCCTTCCAGCCTGTTGCCTGCAGGAGACAGGCTATCTGATGGAGCACTGTAGTTGAGAAGCTCTTGCCTTGCTTCTTAGTAGAAAAAGCACTGAGGAGCAGGGGCTTAGGACACTACTGCACACATCACAGGGCTGTTATGGTTTCCCTGTATCAGCGCAGCGTCCCTTTGTCCCCATCCTGGAAGAGAAGCCAGGTGGGACGAGCGGTGTGCTGGTGTTTGCCCTGCAGCCGTGGGATTCAAACCTCCCTTTCGGTCTGAGCCGGAATGAGAAAAAGGGCAATGTTTCCTGTATATCCAAACCTTGAAAAAGAATTCCTACTATTGTCAATTTAATAGAGGAGGTGAAAAGACAAAGAAGCAACAAGGCACCTTGGCTTCTAAAAGAGTATGTTTAGATAATCTTTCATTGACAATTTTGACAAAAATAAACACACTCCAGGAAAATTTACTGTTGGCTGAGTAATTATTGACAAAAACCAATTCTGCTGGAAAATTTCTGGCCAGCTTTAACCCAGTAATAATGGATACTTTATTTCTTGTGTACCAGCACACCAACCAAAGTGTTCATGAAATATTCATGGCTTGACAGATTTTTAAAGGCTGAAGCAACAATTATGATCGCCTCACTTGCCCTCCTACATAATATAGCTGGGAGAGCATCGCTCAGTATTACATCACTGCCCGGCACCAATGCGAAGTAATGACCCGACTAAACCTCTAGAGGTAATTACAGGTATCAGAAAGGGATGTCACATCACTCAAGCTCTTCCTACGAGTAGTAATTTGGGTACTGGGATACACTGTGGATCAGTGAAGGGGAGTAGGAATGACTCGCTGACTGAGGTTGGATGCTCTTGATTTCCCAAATATTTGCATATATCCCATGCCCTCAGAGACAGGCAGCCCGAGGTAGGTACCACCTCCTGACTTGGGCAAAACTAGTGAGGGTTAAATCCAGGACAGAGAAAAAAGGGACTCGGGAGAAAAGCAGAAATATCACTAACAATTTCTCTGAAGAGCTTGGGAACACCATCCTAGAGACACTGGGAATGAGATGGGTGAATCAGGCAAAACACACCACAGCCAGCTGAGCAAAAATCACTCATATCTACGCGTTTGCTATCCCTAAACTATTCTGGGCAAAGAAAGACCTTACCTACTAAGCTAAATGAGTTAACGTACACGTAACATCAAATAATCATAGGACTTCAAACAAAACATATTTGTAAAGACGACAGCATGGAGGTACAAATAATATGAGCATGGGATTACAAAAGACAATTTTTAGGCAATTTTTAATTTATAGAAGAGACTGTGGTTGGATGTAAACCTCTACAGTACAAAATAAAGGCCACCTGGTTTCTAGAGATTCTTTAACCTTTTAAGGTGTCATCATCTTCTACAACACTCCTCTAGACTTAGGTAAACCCATTGCTGCTTTAATCTCTATCAAACAAGTTGTTATACATGTAAAACACAGCATTTCCAGTCCACCTGTCTCCAGGATCTTGGTGCCTAGGGCATGGACTTAAATTTGGGGACATTATCTGCTCTTCCCTCCTTGAGCCCTGCTCGACCACATGAGTCCCTTCCCTTCCCAGCTGTAGAATGAGGATAATAAATCTGATCTCCCTGTAAAAGGACAGCAGATGAAAAGCCCTGTCTAAGGAGACAAACATTATTAACATTCATCCCAACCTTGACTCCAGAAACATTAGATTAAGGCAGAAACAGTATCAATACTTATATTGCTTCTTATAAAAGGTCCTGCACCTCTGAGCTGACCCACATTTTATTAGCATGCTGCAGGTGTAAGTGAAAAATCCCCCATCCTTTATTCATTACCACCGCTATTTTTCAAGAGAATCCCATCAGGGTTTTTCAATTCAGTATCTGATTTGATTGCTGGAGCTCTGCTAATTGTTTTCAATGAGATTAGGAGAAGCCTATTATGCCGATAGGATGTTCGTCGGTGTTGTGTTACCCAGTTCCACTGAAAAGGAGGCACATTTCTAACATCATGCAGATACACACAGGACTAAATAAGCTTACTCCCACCTTGATTATTATTATTATTTGTAGTAAATGGTGCTTAGGTACCCAGCGGAGAGCAGTGCTGCTGCTTCTTGGATGTTAATCCCTCCTGAGACTCCCCTTACAGAGCTCCAACTGTGAGCAAGAGCCTGATGTGAGTAATTGGAGAGAAACCTCTCTCCTCCAGACGGCCCCGGCTAAGCCACTGGGAAGGCGATGAGGACTGGGCTGCTCAGTCCCCCTCCGGCCACCCCTGCAACGTGACCCCAAGCTGTCTGCAAAGCCACACACCGGGACACCCCGAGGAGCATCTGTCCCCACAGCAGATGGAGCTGTGCAAGGCAACATCAGCTACTGAGCAGTATGTGGTTGTAGGTGGCACAACTGGATGCTGAGGAGAACATCTCCGCTTGGCTTCAAGGGCTCACCCAGGTGGCAGCACCACCACACAGACAAATCAAAGCTGACTATCACCCGGCTGCTGCCACTCCTTCACCTGTCCCCTGGATCCCCTCCTTTACTTGTCCCATCCCAAAGAGATTTTTGGGTCCAAGCTAGTGGAGACCAGAGAGGGCTGATCTGTCTGTCTGCTAAGGAGGGGCACCTGGACCAATGGTTACTTTGATTTCTGGGTTCCTTTTTGGGTTTTGTCCTCCCAAAGCCAAAAGTGAAAGAGTATTAGTGATGTATGAGAAATCAATTGCTGGTTAATGAAAGCACTCCTTCACCTTCTGCAGCCCTGAAACCACAGATAAATAAAATAAATGCTGATAACTACCAAACACAGCAGGCTAAGGATTGCCCGATAAACCCAAATTGATTTTTTGGGGGGTGGGGACGAGGGGACAGTTGAAGGGATGGATGCTTGCTGCCATGGCACAGGCACTTTCCCAGCTGCCTGGGGCCACCCATGGCACAAACCATGGCCCTATGAAGACAGGCTGAGCGAGTTGGGGTTGTTCAGCCTGGAGAAGAACAGGCTCCAGGGAGACCTTACAGCAGCCTTCCAGTACACAAAGGGGCTACAGGAAAGCTGGAGAGGGCTGTTTACAAGGGCAGGGAGTGACAGGACAAGGGGGAATGGCCTTAAGCTGAAGGAGGGGAGATTTAGATGAGATATTAGGGAGAAATTCTTTACGATGAGGGCAGTAAGGCACTGGCACAGGTTACCCAGAGGAGCTGTGGATACCCCATCCCTGGCAGTGTTCAAGACCAGGTTGGATGGGGCTTTGGGCAACCTGGGCTAGTGGAGGGTGTCCCTGTCCATGGCAGGGGGGTTGGACTAGATGGGCTTTGAGGTCCCTTCCAACCCAAACCATTCTAGGATTCTACGAAATCAGATCTCAGACTGCGAGAGGAGCAGCTGCTCCAGGGGGTGCTGCCAGAGTGGGGCTGCCATGCTTCATCACCTGCCCCAGCCATTGTGCCCCTCTGCTGCTCCCTGCGCTGGCGGTGGACGCCAGCATGGCAGCTGCCTGCACTCTGCTCCAGCTGCTCAGGACTTTTCCTGCAAGGGTCCCATAATGGGTGATGGGCACGTTATGACAGCCCTTAAGCAGCTCTGCACTGGGGGGTGACATTCCTGCCCGCCTTGGGCAACTGTGACCCCCAGGAAATGAGGGGCATGGCTGTCTGTGACCAGCTGCGCTTGGGCTGGGAGGTCCCCATGGTGGGATGCCATGGATTAGAGGAAAGCGGGAGGATCAGGGCCACCATGGGGAAGGGAGCCTGGGAGCGGGGTTACCCTGGTTGCACACCTTTACCCAGTGGTACCTGCCTGGCCATCGCCCCTCCACACTTCTGTAAATCCACATCTCAGCTCAGGCGGTGACACACCTCCGCTGCGGGTGGGCTCAGGATGCTTGCAGCAACGGTAGGCAGCGACTGACAGACTTCACTGCTCCCCTGCCGCCTGCGTTCACTCCAGCTCCGGCACCCCATGTCCCGAGCATCGCAGTTTCAAAGACTGCGGCTTTGATGAAATGGCACCAGGGACTTGCCCTTAACTAAAGATGGATGAAAGTCAGCTCAGTTCAGCAGCAGGCTGAGATTTCAGCAAGGAAAAAACCTGGGAAATTTAGAAAGCTGAGCTTCGGTGGCTTCCCCTTACCCCAGGGAGTTTAAAGCACGCAGAGAGGGGGCACAGCCCTGACGCTGCATTTCCCATGACTGCAAAGAGATAGCGAGCGCCTGGGAAGAGACAGATGCCAGCTGTGAACTCCCCTTCTGCGGGGCACAACCAGAAGCAATAAAGCAAAACTAGCAAAAGGAAAACCAGGCTGCAAATGTGAGGGGGAACTCGCTGCAGGCAGGTCCCGGTGCCGACACCAGCAGAGGGCAACCGCAGCACACTGCGCCCCGCTCCAGCCGCATCACAAATCTGTCCCACCACCACCTCATCTGCTTACTGAGTACCCCGGTACCTACGTACGATGCAGAAAAAAAAAAAAAAAAAAGTCCTATGAGAAGAAGATTTATACACTGTAATATCTTGGAAACTTTCCCTGGAGATGAGGAACAGAAGACCATGTGTGTCTGACACTGTACTGGGATGCTCTGAGGCTGTACCGTACTGATGCAGCCTGTACTGGTTTGCTCCCTGAGCCCTCCAGTCCCAGAGGCCAGCTCTACTCAAGGGTTAAAAAACCCCACAAGCCTGAGCAAGAGCAACCTGCATGCCTATAAAATTTTGTTTGCCAAACGCTGCCTTCTCTATCAGTGTGGGTGCCTATCCCGAGATCATCCTTTTGTACAGCTTTGCTTACCCGTTTATTCCAGCCGTTCCTGTTCAGGTTTTTCTTCAGTTTTTAAATGCATGGCATACTAGAACTTGGTTTTGTTTTCTTTTTTGAAAATCTTCAATCAATGTGGAAAAGGTAAGCGTGTAAAACTTTACGTCTCTATTGGCAGATTTTCACAGCCATTTCAAAAAAGCTATTTTAATCTCAAGTGTTGGAAGTAAATACTATGTTGGAGTTTCTACAATGCTATAGCCTTCTGTTGGCTTCTACAATCTCCAGGTATAAAATACAGCCCTTTCTTGAACAAAAGCCAAGATCTTGGAAAGGATCAAAGAATAAAAAGCAGAAATGAGTTTTGTCAGGAGATGGATATTTTTATATCATACATATAAAATCGTCTCGCACCTAAACCCCTTTTTATGGCCATCTTTGATAGTTTCCAAGGGGGTGGGAGGCAGGGGCCATCCCAGGGCTGCATCCACCAGAACAGCCTGACCTCATTCCTCCTCTGTGCTTCACTCCAGCCTGGGACTGTGGACACTGGGCCACTCGTCTGGAGTCCTGCTGGAACCTGCAGCACTGGGCTCCTGACCACACCGCCTGGCCACCACACCTGCCCTGCTGTGGGCATGGGTTGGGTTTGTCCAGCCCAGCTTTGCTCAGAGGAACTGCTGAAGTCAGGGCTGTGCAGAAGATATCCCCCTGCACTGGCAGTGGCAGCTCATGGGACATCAGAGCAGGTTTTATTGATTTGCCCAAAGGGAGTTTTTCCCTCTCTGAAACACGAGGTTTACTCCTCTTACCCGTGAAGATGAGGCTGGTTAACAGAGGGACAGGCTGAGCTTTTATAACGTGGGTCACTTCACTACGAGAAGCCATCCATGAGCCAAAATTGTTTCTTACTGAAGATGAATTATGTTTATCTTTTCTGAAAATAAGGTCTCAGAGTGATGTGCTGGAACATGGATCAAATCCTTGGCAAGGCCACAGTTTCAACATGTGTCAACAGTGACATCCAAGTTGAGATTTGTAACTGCAGTAGGAGGTGGACTCACTCTAGGGACTGTCAGGATCAAAGAGAAACTTCTTATAAATAAGGAGATCTCTCCACAGCATCCACATGCATGTTCAGCATAGTACAAGCACCTCATGGTGCTCACCTTTCTTGGAGGAACAGTCACTGCAGCACGTGGTCTTTGAGGGAGGAAAAATGAATCCCAAAAAGCACAAATTTTGGTGGGACAGGGATCAGCTTGTTTGCCAACCATGACGTGCAGCATGGCTGTAGGGACTCTGGAGGGTGGACCTGAACTTCTGCGTGGTACAGGTTCAGAGTGACCCACACACATCAGTCCCTGATGGCAAGGGCTAGGTGCAAAATAATGACTCTATTATCCAGAAAACACTCCCAGCCCTTGGACTCAGGTGTGGCAAGAGATGAAGCCCTGTCGGTACCCAGCCAAGTCTGTGACAGCTGCTTGAGAAAGCGCTACATCCCAATGAACTCAAGAGAAATGATGCTCTAATCATTGCAACGCAGCAAAAAGCTCCCTGTTAATCCACCAGCCAAATCCGCACCGTTCCCAGCTGGCGGCCAAGCGGGTCCAGAAGCCAAGGCTGGGATCAGCAAGAGAAGAGTTTAAACAATTAGTCTGTGGTGTCCTGGGAGCGTGGAGAGACATATTTTAGCACATCGCCCTGAAACTCATCACAAAGCCGCATTTAGCCCAGGTCTGCATGGGATCAGCCCTTTGCTGCAACATTTCTATAGAGGAGGATGAATTCCTACCTCCAAGACAAGTTCCTTTTGCTCCACTTGGTGACAGCCTGCACGAATCGCTTCCTCCTGGTCTCTGTGGTGGTGAGGTCAGGCAGAGAGCAGCGAGGTGTCTTCATCAGCTCCAGCGTGGCTTCATCTAGGGTTAGGAGAAAAAAAAAAAAAAAAAAGAAATTATGAGAATGGCTAAGAAATTGCAGGGGGGACAGGGAGATGGAAAGGGAAGTGCTGAGGATGCAGCAGCAGTGCAAAAGGCAATGCCCCAAGAGTTGGGGCATGGCGCCAGCCCCAGCATCACCCGAGGTGCCACCCATGGGGCACTGGGCCTCCTCCGTGCCGCAGTTGCACCCAGCAGCAGCAGCAATTCCTGCTGAAAGCCCATTTCCTCAAAGCACCCACCAGCTGGGGCTGCCAGGAGGTCAGGGGAGATGACGCCCCACGGCCGTGCGGTTAGACGCCAGCTCTGCTGTTAGTGCCAATGGACAGTTTTATTGATTTCAGGAGAAAATGCAGCAGGTTACCTCTTGCATGACACTTTACAGATCTTGAAATTTTGTGTGGAAAACCACCTGTGGCCAGCTTTGATTATGTTTTAAAACATAAATTTTTAATTATTCTGTTTTATTCTCTCTTGTTGAATTTCCCATTATTCCCCTGGCAAAGCAGAGAGACGTTCACATCTAAATAAACTATATCACTCTTCGGCTAGGACCTCATTTGGAAAATGTTCATATTCCTTCTTTTTTATTTTTAAAACTGAATGAGAACTTAAAGCCCCTATTCTCATCTGCTGAAAGGCAGGGTACTTGTTCTTTCGCCCATTTTCCCTGCTGGCTTTACCTTTTTACTTAAACGCTTTATTTTCAGATGCAAACCCATGTCCGTGACCTGCCCAGGGAAACCCTCAGGCCTGTTCCAAACACCCTCTCTAAAAATGAAAATATGAATGCATTAGAAAGGCCGTCCTTGCTCCCGGGCCTCCTGCAGCTTGTGATAAGGTGGAAAAGAAATAATTGCACGCACTCAATTAAGAGCAGAAAGGGAAGGTCCCAGTAACGGGACGCGGCCGGTGGCTGCTCAGGCGGCAGCTGCTCCAGGGGACCAGCGGAGGCTGCCAGGCATCAGAATGGACGGAGACCGGCGGGCTAATTAGCAGCTTCTTGCTAATTCTGTCCTGAGCAGCGGAAGAAATCTGGCCACGTGGCGGGAGGTCATGGCCGCACATCAGGGAAGGGAGGAGAGCAGACAGGCGCCCTTCTGAGGGCCAAGATAATGCTGCCTTTCTTCTTCCCTCAATAAGGACGTAGAGAGGAACAACCCCGGCCATGCCAGGGAGCTTGTGTCACCTCAGCCAGGCCTTGGGCCGCTCCCTCCCAGCAGATGTGGCCACTACGTCAGGCCGAAGCCACCCATCACCCTGTCCATGCTGGCCGGTGGAGCTGCTGAGTCAGGTGACGGGCTCTCGGCTGGCTGGGGGCAACCGGGGGGTGGCTGGGGGAAGAGCCAAGGAGACCCTCGCCAGCTCCACAGGCACCTCGTGGCCCTACGTGCCACGGCAGGAGCGAGCGGTGCTGTGGTGATGCGACACCATCTTCCTCCCTCCCCTGCGCTGTGCCCCAGCGGTGAAGAAACTAGAATATCTATGTACACAAATTAGGAGCTTAATCAGGATTTTTGTTCAACTCAATTTGATGCTGCAATTAAGACTTTGAACAGGACAACCTATCAGCCTTAGTTTCTCTGTATTTTTTTTTCCTTGTCTTTTTTTTTGTGGGTTTTGGGGTTTTTTTTGATTACACCAAGAGCTATTTTAAGCACGACAGGAACCCCAGGGGTGTGTGGGTCTGGTGAAATAATTGCTTGCCTCAGGTTCTTGAAAGCACAAGGCAACAGAACACCTGAGCCATGTAATTACTCTTACAGCTGCAAACTGGGCCATACGTTCCACCTGCACGAGCTTTTTCTGGAGCTGAAACTACTCCACAACTCAGCACCAAGTCCCCTCTCCTCCCCGGACCTGCAAGGAGCCGTCCCTGTATCCCCCTGCACAGGAGAGGAGGGATCATGAGCCACTGACCTAGGACCCCCGTCGCCTCGAGCCCCCCAAACCGCTGCATGGCAGTGATGGCCTTGGTGAGCTCCTCCTGCGTCTGCAGTTGTCCTGTGACAGGATCCGGAGGAGGCAGATACCCAAATTTTGTCAGCCAGTCCTGTGAAATGAGAAGGGGAGGGGATGAGAAAAGGAAATGAAGAAAATATAGGTGCAGGGAAAGATGCTCTGAAGGTCCCATCTGTTCCACTTGGAAATAATTTTTCCATTTCCATGTTTATACCCGGCTTTCCCCATCGAACCATGCAGTCTCTGCTAACAAATGGATGCGTCAGGACGGATCTGTACACATCGCTTCAGTAACGGGATTCGGTGACCGTCACGCGTTCTAAGGGTGACATCTCATTTTCCCACCTGGCTGCAAAGCATCTTTGACAGCGGCGGCAGCGCAGCCCCAACCCGAGGGTCACACCGGCACCTTGGATTCAGCCCTCAGACACTGGCAGCTCTTACTGGAAACTTGCTGCAGGGCTGAGCACAGCGAGGGGAGGAACTCTGCCCGTCACGAGGGCCAGGCAGTGCCACCTCCCTCGGGACCTCATTGCTAGCAGGAGCCTGTGGAGGTCTTGGGGATCGTCCCTGGGTCCGATGCAGGAACCTCACTGACCTCCGTCCAAGGCTGCAGAGCAGCTGGGTTTTGTCCAATTTTGTCTCAGACAGACCTCTCTGACCATATGTGCTGGGATTTAAACTTTCTGCTGTCCCCTGCGGGCACCACAGTAAGGTCACAGCTTCCCATGAGAGGTGAGAGGAGGGGACCTTTCCTCCTCCCTGCCAGCGTGGGGAACACCTCCATGGCCAAGCGCCCTTTGCAAGTCCCCCCACATCAGCACGAGGACTGTGCCTGCTCTCTGGGTCCCTTCAGCTGATCTGCCACAACGCCATCATCCTGCTGTGACATTGATTGACCTGCTGCAACTTTCTGCTGCTTTCCAGTCCATGCATGGCTGGGGCGGCCGAGCTGTGAGATTACAGTGCATTAAGGGTGCAAACAGCTTGGCAGAGGCTCCCTTCATCTGGTGGAGATGAGCTGGAACACAAGGATGAGGACATCCCTGTGGTCCAAGCCCCCTCAATGTGCCCTGATGGTTTGAGGACATCAGGTTAACGGTTGGACTCAATGATCTTAAGGGTCTTATCCAACCTAAATGATTCTATGAAGGTGGCTTGACCTTCACGACAGCAAGATTTTGATTGGAAGCAAACCCAACCACAAAGTCTCTGAGGTCCCTCTGAGTCACGGAGTCATCCAGGATCCAAGGCAGATTACCTCAGCATTGACACAAAACCAAGCCCTCTGGAGGAAAACACCATGGAGATGTAACCTGCCAAGCCTCTTCCTCAGAGGCCACCACGTGTGGTGGGACCTTGGCTTGGTCCCTTCCCACCAGTTCCCAGGCAACATGAGCACTGCAGCTGCAAAGTTTCAGCTTCCAAGAACTGAACACCGCCCCAGCGAGAGCTGGCAGTTTCCCAGCAGTGCCATCACCCTTCCACCACAGGAGGGAGGAGTACGGGGACAGGGAGCAGAGGAAAATCCTGCAACAGCCTTCCCCTAGAATATGGCCAACACCAAAAAGTCATTCCTGGTGATTAAAGCCCTCATCATTTAAAAAGAAAGAAAAAACCCCACAAACCCAAAACATACATGGATTAAAAAAAAACAAAACAAAACCAGCAACCCACACTGTAAGAAAATCCCATTGATAACGGCAATGGATTTCTCAGCTTTGGATTATTTGTTCAAGGGGATAGATCGGCAGAGTCACACTCACCCCAGCAGCATCGGAAGTGCCAGGACTGGCTTAACGGTGAAGCTGAAACCTCAGTCACCCGCAGCCTCCGACAGGGCCGACTGATTTGAGAAGAGAAATAAATGCGCCCTCCTCTCCAGCGTTTCAGTGTGCCATGGTTTAACCATCTCTCTGCCTGTTGCCTTAAAGCATTTAGAGCCAGATATGGGTATGTCCACCACCAGAAAG